GAAGGAAGGAAAAGTGAACACTCGGTGTTTTCCACATGTTTTCCACAAGTTAGTTTTGTGGTTTTAAATTATATTTAAAAGCCATGTTTCATAGTAAGTGCAACAAAAAAAGAATGCACAAGTATTAGCATGATACTTACTCACAGAAAAACCAAAGCATAGCTTTGTCAGCTTCTTTTCTTTGCACCACCTGCAGACCTCACCCCAAGTATTTGCTTTAAATCTCCCCTCACCCACAAACCCATTGTTTGTGTTGCAGGGGCCCAACTGAAAGTAAATGCCACACTAGTTTGACATATCCATGAAATGTTTAAGCTATTCTAAACTAGAATGGATATCTAAATTTGAAATGAGAGCCATGTTTTATGTTTTCCTATGGGAACGGGTAAGGGTTGGCAGTACGGTGCATAAATACTGAGGTCACAATTAAATGATAAAGGGTGTTCCAGTGAAAACAAATGCAAAGAAAAGAAAACTAAATGAGGGAGTCAAAGATTGTACTGTATTTGGAAAGAAAACCCCTGGTGTTCATCACCTGTCACATTGCCTATAACAAATGTAACCAAATGTTTTGGCAGCCAAGGGGTCATTCAACCAAAAAAAAAAAACCCAACCAAGCATAAAAAAATGTATTAGTCAAAACACCAAAACACAACCCAAAATTGTCTTCTGCTTTGATTTTTTTATGAATTCATTTGTTGTCAGAGTATTTTTACATTTATGAAAACACATCAGAGAAAGAAACTAGACACTTTACTGTTTTGAAAACTGGGTACTGCATTTTTTAAGCTGCCACAATTCATCACAATTATTGTAATTTTCTGCCTTTATACATTCTGTTGACCATAATGGTCAGACAGTGCGAGCTCATGCCCACATCTCTCAGTCACTTTTCACATGTTTTGTAGAGTCTAAATCCAGAGAAAATGGGCATTAATTTCCGTTCTGTCAAAGGCTTTTATGTTGTGGTCAGCCACAATGGAGTTCCTGAAAAACAAACTAAAAAAAAAAAGCTGAAAAATGTTATGTCACGCAGAAATTTGAAAATGTTGCTCAGTAGTTCAGTACATTGTGATTTCACAAGTCTTCCATGACACGGCTTGATAAAGCATTTCCTACCATCTTACTGGAAGATCAATGGACACGTACATAGATGCAAGTGAAAAAAATGTGTAATGTATGTATGTAAGTGAGAGAAAAAGGTCTTTCTTTTCATTTTGACATTGCTTTTAGAAACATTGCTAACAGCAGACACACCAGTGCAGCTGTGGTGCAACCACAGATCTCTGTTGTCTGTCCCTGGCCGTATGTTGTGGGAAAAAAAGAAATGAAAGCAGTTAGCGCCCAGGTTAGCGCACAAAAAAGGAAAATGTCTGGCTTTGGAGTGTCAATAAATGACAGATAAACCTTCCAGCTTTGCTCTTAACAGCTAGTAAGTTGTGTACTGGATGAGTTCTTGAGTGAAATTCTGCTCTCACTTCACGTAGTCACTCATTATCACATGCAACAACCTGAGTTTTATGAATTGCATTCCTCAGTGTGAGATAATTTGCTGTGTATTTAGATTTATGTCTCCTGCTAAACCATCATTATCGCCTACAGCAGTTTTATATGTCGCTCTGAGACATGTCTGAATTACCTCAATTTTGTGTCTGTTTGTCGCAGATCGTACAACACACTATCATTCGGATCAACGGCGCAGGGTTGTTTTGCATATTTCAAACCCCTCATGGTTGATGTGGCAAAGCACCATATAACAGAGTGCGAGGGTGTGGTTACCTAAATGCCCTTATTTAACTGCTGAGGAGGGGGGCTGAGAAGGCTTTAATTCACTGGAAAGTGGTTATTCTATATTTGCCCCAACCATACAGTGACTCCACCCTCCACACATCCCACATAAAGTCACTCCACTAAAAGAGTTTATGAATACTGAACCCATTAGGTTTGGACTCAGATGCTGCAGACCTGGCAGCTCTTTATTACTCAAATAGAACGACCAAAATAACCAGATAATGACCTGTTAATATGAGTGAATGCACTTGCATTGAGGTGGCTTAGCTCAACAGTAGAGGAGGAATGGATAATGAATGATCCTTTTTTATAAAATCTCTCTATTTAATATAAAAAAGATAGAGAGTCTTTATAAACTGTCTCTCTGCATTTCTGTAAGAGGGTGTGGTCAGGTGGACAAAAATGACTTGGACCACATTATATGTAAAGTTCGGGTAATTACTAGGTTGAAAGACTTAAATAGCTGGGCCCACAGTGGTAAACACACTGGAAGTCAAGGCAGCTGTCACTGCAGTATCCTTCCTCCTTGCCTCCTTAAAGACAAACATAATGTACCAAAAGCTTAAATATTTAGATATGACAACAAAGCAATGGTCACTTTAGATAACCACTCATACGGGAAATAAGTGAGTGGTCATGTTTCACAACTAAAACAATGAAATTAACTGTGAATGTTTACTGACTGTTTTTTTTTCTCTGTGGATTACTTTCATGTACAGATTTCTAATTTTTTAAAAAAGCTTTCCAAACTCAAAAGAAAAGGAGCATTGGAAGGCAATTGCTAGAAGTGCTGTGAGGAATTCAAGCAACACTCTGCCAAAGTACCACTGGAAGAAATAAAAGGTGAAAGAATGAAGCCAAATTAACTTGAATCTGCTCACTGAGATATAGCGCAGTATCATTTATAAGTCACTCTTGCTTGGTTCTTATTTATATCTCAAGTGCTGATTGTTTCAGAGATAAAAGGGCCAGACATAAACAACAACAATAAAAACTGAGTTGAGACTGAAATGAGACAAAGGCATTTTCAACTAGAAAAACTTGCATTTCCTGCGAAAATGCAGTGTGAATGCTGTGTAGTGGAATCTGCTGAAAACAGCTGAAGAACTATCTGCTGAAAAGAGGTGAAGAAGCTGAAATCTGTGCTGACAAGAGGTGAAAAAGCTGAATTTTCTGCTGAAAAGAGGTGAAGAAGCTGAAAGTTTTGGTTGAAAAGAGTTTAAAAAATTAACCTGTATACTGAAAAAAATGTTGCCATGAGTGGGATTCGAACACAGCTCACCCTGGCAAGCTAAATCAGCGAACACACTTCTAATGTGGTCCTATTCATCTACAGTGGGGCAAAAAAGTATTTAGTCAGCCACCGATTGTGCAAGTTCCCCCACCTAAAATGATGACAGAGGTCAGTAATTTGCACCAGAGGTACACTTCAACTGTGAGAGACAGAATGTGAAAAAAAAAATCCATGAATCCACATGGTAGGATTTGTAAAGAATTTATTCGTAAATCAGGGTGGAAAATAAGTATTTGGTCAATAACAAAAATACAACTCAATACTTTGTAACATAACCTTTGTTGGCAATAACAGAGGTCAAACGTTTACTATAGGTCTTTACCAGGTTTGCACACACAGTAGCTGGTATTTTGGCCCATTCCTCCATGCAGATCTTCTCGAGAGCAGTGATGTTTTGGGGCTGTCGCCGAGCAACACGGACTTTCAACTCCCGCCACAGATTTTCTATGGGGTTGAGGTCTGGAGACTGGCTAGGCCACTCCAGGACTTTCAAATGCTTCTTACGGAGCCACTCCTTTGTTGCCCGGGCGGTGTGTTTTGGATCATTGTCATGTTGGAAGACCCAGCCTCGTTTCATCTTCAAAGTTCTCACTGATGGAAGGAGGTTTTGGCTCAAAATCTCACGATACATGGCCCCATTCATTCTGTCCTTAACACGGATCAGTCGTCCTGTCCCCTTGGCAGAAAAACAGCCCCATAGCATGATGTTTCCACCCCCATGCTTCACAGTAGGTATGGTGTTCTTGGGATGCAACTCAGTATTCTTCTTCCTCCAAACACGACGAGTTGAGTTTATACCAAAAAGTTCTACTTTGGTTTCATCTGACCACATGACATTCTCCCAATCCTCTGCTGTATCATCCATGTGCTCTCTGGCAAACTTCAGACGGGCCTGGACATGCACTGGCTTCAGCAGCGGAACACGTCTGGCACTGCGGGATTTGATTCCCTGCCGTTGTAGTGTGTTACTGATGGTGACCTTTGTTACTTTGGTCCCAGCTCTCTGCAGGTCATTCACCAGGTCCCCCCGTGTGGTTCTGGGATCTTTGCTCACCGTTCTCATGATCATTTTGACCCCACGGGATGAGATCTTGCGTGGAGCCCCAGATCGAGGGAGATTATCAGTGGTCTTGTATGTCTTCCATTTTCTGATGATTGCTCCCACAGTTGATTTTTTCACACCAAGCTGCTTGCCTATTGTAGATTCACTCTTCCCTGTCTGGTGCAGGTCTACAATACTTTTCCTGGTGTCCTTCGAAAGCTCTTTGGTCTTGGCCATGGCGGAGTTTGGAGTCTGACTGTTTGAGGCTGTGGACAGGTGTCTTTTATACAGATGATGAGTTCAAACAGGTGCCATTCATACAGGTAACGAGTGGGGGACAGAAAAGCTTCTTACAGAAGACGTTATAGGTCTGTGAGAGCCAGAGATTTTCCTTGTTTGAGGTGACCAAATACTTATTTTCCACCCTAATTTACAAATAAATTCTTTACAAATCCTACCATGTGAATTCATGGATTTTTTTTTCACATTCTGTCTCTCACAGTTGAAGTGTACCTCTGGTGCAAATTACTGACCTCTGTCATCATTTTAAGTGGGGGAACTTGCACAATCGGTGGCTGACTAAATACTTTTTTGCCCCACTGTAAATGGGTCAAACATGGCATAAAAAGCTTACTATTTATAGTGTCGTATAGTATAAAAGTTACTAGCACCAACAAATATAGGAGGCATTAGCAGAAAGAGCAGAACAGTTTAAAATTTGAATGGTGAAAATCAGATGAAAACTGGGGGAGTAGTTAACCAGCAAAGAACTGAGCAACTAGAATAATAAGGTAGAAGGTAGAAGATAGAATAAAGAGAAACAGGATCTCAATAGTGTGAATGCTTCATGGTTAAAAAAGGATACATTTTTATTTCATTTTCATATTTTTATCTATTGGTATGACTTGTTCTGTCCCTTATATCCACAGATATCTGTACCATATATGCACTTGACATTGAACCTGACATTGGGTGGCACCATCGTGATAAATGCTTTGATTTTTCATTTAGCCCCAACATCTGGTCAAAGTTTCAATCAGTCCAACTGTGCCCACTGTACCCACGCAAAGTCTCTTCAGATGTTAGAGTATTGTCGGAAACCATCTGGAAAACACCGATTTCACTGTGATCTTTTTCTAAAGACTGCAAAGAATCTTTCAGTGTCCACTTGTGTCCATCCTTCATCACTCTTTGCTAAATTAATGTTGCTACATAAGCAAATACAGGATGTAGCTACAAGCAAACCCCCGCTAACACTGATTGAAGTGGGATTCTACAGGAGAGCTGTTTACTGTGTTTGTTTTATTTTACGCCATCTGTGTTGTTTTATTTTACACCATCTGTGTATGTATGGCTGTGATGTGCCATATTTGCTTCCTGTTACACTGTCATTGTTTAGCCTCTTTTTAAAAAATATCTGACAAAGATGACAAAATGGGATGTGCTCATGCTCAATATGCTCCTGTCAGCAGAATGTAAAATTTTTTCAGACAATTTATTGAATTTGAACACTCCTGGATGGAGTGCTTTCATGTGAAAAATATGTCCTCTTCAGAAATAAAGCGTTTTTCAACTGTAAAGATTTATTGCAACAAGCTTTTTCTTTTCAAAAATAAAAAAAAGAACAGGTTCTGTGTCAACAAATCGCCTGACAGGCCAGAGCGTCAAGGCCTGTTACCAAAAGCCAAGAGGCTTGTTTCAAAAGACAGAGACCTCCTGACAAACTTTGCACGATTCTGCAAACCAGCTGCAGTTGGAATGTTAACATAAAGTAGCACTGTTACAGTCTGTTTTACAGGATGGGTGCTTATATTCCTGAACACATTTTCATGTACAAAAAACTACAGCATACATGTGCAAAAACACCCCTGCATAGTGGGGGTAGAACCTGTGGGGCACATTCAGACACTTTGTCATAATGACTGTTTAGCAAATGGAACAAATAAATAAATCATCATGGGACATTACCTATAAATGACGAAAGTGAAGTTGCCTGGCAAGACACTGGTATTTCCTCTCAAGTATATGAGCATTGCTATACAAAGCGGTTTCTGCAAGGTTCTTTGGCATAAGAGCAGCATATGTTGCTAAGGAGTGACTTTACAAAAATAACTAATTGAGGTTCCTGGAAATGTTTGAAACAGCTCATTGTTGCTCAAAAGCTCTCCCTAATAACTTTCTATATTTGCTAAGGAACAAATATGGGAGTGGTTTGCAGGACGAGCTGAAAGCACCATTTGTGTAAGACAGGAAAAGAAATTGTGCAGAGTGCAAAAACAAAGATGTGCTCTATGTGAAGATTTTATCAAAACTCCAGACTGTTGCTTTCATAGTTAAACGTTTCATGTGTATTTTCTGCTCAACAGTCTATTCTTTGTCAAATTGTTTTAAATAGTAAAAAAAACTTTAAATAGGACATTATCAGAAAATATATCACTCTGTATCAGGATCTTCATAAAAATAATTTATCACAGAGGCTTTAGAAAGGTTGAAATTTTCTGCATCAAGTGTTGGAGTTAACATTTTTTAAAATCTATAAAAAGCTGAACACTTTGTCCTCAATGAGACTGATAGATTTATCTGTTAGCATTTCCTCACTGCTCACAAATTTGTACCCAAAAAGCTTCATTGTTGGTCCACAAACTCTCTGTACCACTTGGGCTATCTTGAATGGAAGCTTGAACCTCCATTTCTCCACTTGTTCAGATGAGTTTTTCTGTGTAGAGTAAACTCCGCTTGTCTCCTTCGAGGCCTGGGTGTTCTTCAGAATCCAGGATTTCACTTGTGGAGTGAATGGGATTCCAGTAAACTTGTACATCTCGGTTGCTTTCTTCATGGGGAACCGAGCAATGTCCTCATACCGCACCAGCATGTATCGCCTGCGCAGCCAAAATGGCTGTCTGAGGCCGAACTCGGCAGACATTTTGATATTGTCGCAATTTCCTTTTAACTTCCTCACCTCGTCATCGTCAATAGGAACATTTCCACCCATGGCCCACTCCTTCCAGTTCTTGTATTTGGCTGCAAAGGCCACCATACGTGATGCCAAGATAGCCCGGGGATCGCGAACCAGCTGGATGAATTTTACATCAAGACGTGTGTCCTCAGCCAAAGGACGCAGAGTCTCGAGCTGGCGCACTCGTACCGACTTGATGGCAATGTGCTCTTTCTTAAGGCAGGATTCAGATGCCATTGTCAGGTTCAGGGGACCACAGCGTCTGGTCTTACAGTGATATCGTTCAAAAACCCCTTTGACAACAGGGCTGCAGACAGACTTCTCACACAGAGAGCTGCTGGACTCCCTGCGAAACAGGGCTGGGGTGATGTGGTCCATGGGAAGGGGGTCGATGAAGGTTTCTAGCAAAGAAAAGTCACACAGGAAGAGTTTTTGGAGCACATCACGGTATGCTTTGGCTGCCGCTGTAGCATTGGTGCCTCCAGTGTCCAAAGTCAACATCTTTTCCACGTGCCACAGAGGCTCAAACAGGTAAAACATGTTTTCTCCCTGCTGGTTGAAAAACTCGCCCACAAATGAAGAGCCTGTCCTAGTCGTGGTTAGCAGGAGAATGTGTTTTCTACCCCTTCTCAATGCCCCTCGGTGCTCGCTGTAGTCCTCCACCCGCGGCTTCATCAGCGTGACATTCCTCTTGCTGATTGACAGACGGAAACTACTGTGCTTCAGCAGTACGTTGGACAAACTGCTGGGTTGTTGAGAGGTTTGAGGGGTCTGCTTTAGCTTATCTGACACCCTGAAAGCATGAGAGAAACCAAACGCATGTTACATTTCAGGTTAACATAGAGTCAGAGCCTTGACGTCTAAAGCATTTTTTTAATATCTAATATCTCGCTCAGAAAAGAATTCAATCCTCCTTTCGTGATTGAAATTGACTTACCTTGAGATAATGTTGTTTTCTTTCTCAATGATAACAAGTGCCATAAAAAAGACAATGGGTAGAGTGTATTTGATCTTCATTCTTGGATGTGGCTGAGCCTGGATATGCTTTTACAGACTGCTTCTTAATAGCTTCTGCCAATCTCGCCAAGTCACCAGTTGCGTTCTTAAAGAGCCATCCAGTTATTTGTGTTCCCTGTTGTAGAAAATGTTTTATCCTGCAAATGAAATGAACATCAAACTGTCAGCTACAAATTTTACACATTTGAGCAAGGCTGTGGTAGAACACTATTTTTGTAAATGGGGAACCTAACAATGCACTGTGATGCTGAGTCACAGAGGTTCCGCTCTTCTTTTATTTCTAAATTTGTTAGTTGCATACAGCACCACTGTGTTCTGCAAAACTATGATGAGAGTCACTTACTAAAGAAAAAAACCCACCTATAAGAAGATGCTAAAAATACAAAAAGGTATAACACATTGTTTCCCATTGGAATTTAAGCTAGTCCTTGCCATGAGGAAGTACTTGTTATCTTTAAGTGCAGCAGTGCGTTTCAGGTACATGCCCACCCACCACTGCAAGTCTGAGGGATGGTGCAAACTGTATTTATGAGTTAGTCTTTGTAGAAGTTGCTTTCAAAAATGAGTGGATAAACAACTATTAGGGCACAAAGAAATGTGGGTACAGACTGCAATCAAGGACAATTTTGTCAATTAAACTGCAATCCCACAGCTGTCAAGCTGCTTGCCAAAAAAACTCCAGAGTTGTCTGGCTTGGAGTGAGATCCTTTACCTCCCACTGATGTAGATAACAGAACAGTCCAAATTGCCAGCTACTCCTCCTCAACACCAGGAGGATATCTTACACAAGGACTAATAGAAGTCCAAATGCTAACAGGACTGCAGAGTCGTGGAATTGAAAGGGGAAATCCTGCTTGTCACTGAACCATAAATTGCCATGCTCTGAGCCTGGAGGCCATTCAGTTGTTTTATAAGTCTGCAGAGGGCAAGTGGTGGGTAATCAAATGAAGATAAGGGTGGATTTAATGGGGACTATTTGTGAATGTCTTGCACATTCTTGAAAGATTAATATTGGTTCACTTTTAAGATAATGGCAGCTTGACTCAGATCCCTGACTAATCTTGAGAATTAAGCATAATCCTGCTTACCTTGTCTGCTAGTGTTGGGTCAATACCACAGCAAGAGCAAATGAGGCAGCCTCCACCTGGAGGATATTTGCAAAGCATCATCAAACTGCTGTTTTTTGGGAGGTTGTGGGGTGGAGGTGGGGGTTAAGATCCATAAGTAACAGGCCAACCTTTTCATTTAACTGCATCAGGCTACGATAAGATGCCAAATCCTGTTGGAAACCCAGTTGGATGACCACTGTTTTCTCAATTCTTTAATGTCTTTGCCTTTCTGTGTTTCACACCTGGAGGTCCGCTTCTCACATCCTGTTACAACTTCTGTCCAGGGCCATGTTTGAGAACAGAAGCCAGTTCAGATGACTGCAGTCTAAACACGGGGAATGGTTAGACACTCCCTGTGAAATTCTCTGAGTGGGAATGGGAAGTTTACAGCTCCAATAGAGCACTGTTGACGTGGAACGGCACGTAATGAAAAGGTGAACAGCCTGTATACTGAGACACGTTTTCACTGGAAGGAAAACTCAGCGCTGTCTTGCACCACCTTGCCGCATGCCACAACCACAAAGGCCTCTTTACACATGGAGTGAGTTTAAACCTTCCTTTGGGTAGAGATTGCAGAACATAAACTTTCAGGTCATTCAGACGTCACAGGGTCAGTGACTAAGCTCGTGGATGTTCCAAGTCATCTAGAACTGGTCAGATAAGACAACTGCACCAAATTAAATGAGTGAGTCTTCAAACCCATGGGAGTTTTTAAAGTGAGCAAATGAATTTCCAATGTCTGACCAAGCCAACAGATATTTAGCACATGGAAAGATAGAGTACAGCTGTTGTGCACTCTGTGTAATACTGTTGTGCATTAACAAATTACGACATATAGCAAAAACGATTTAGCTTAATAAATAAGACACAAGAGGATGATTAGCAACAAAAATGTCTCTTTCTGTAACACTTACAGTTCTATGGGATTGAGTGTGTAGTTCTCCTCATATATGATTCAAAATAAACAAAAATATTCAACATCAACCATTCATCAAGAAAATAAGTAGTCTGATGTTTTGTCATTTATATGGTAAATTAGATGTACACCAATTATCTCAGCCTATTGCATCTGCTGGGTAAAGCAGAAAAAAAGAAGCTGACATTCTTGAATATTCACAAACCACTGAGGCATATGACACGTTTGATCATCTGCTCATAACAAAACTGCCACTGCACCATTTATCATCTTGTTACAAATGCTTTTAATAGCTGCCTCTTATTTAATGTAAATCTTATGTGGAGACAAATTAAACACCAGCCAACCAAACCCATCTTGCTCGAGATTGCATTGCAAATGTGCACTGCGGTGTCCAACACATTTTTCTGATAGATAAAAAAAGATAAAGGGATTACAGTGGGGAATTTTTTGTATATATTTAGTTGCATTAAGTCATTATGGGAAGATTTTTATAATCATCGGAGGAAATATTGTACTCTAAGTTATTTACTCAGTCACTAAAAACTTTTCCAATAGTTTATTGAATTAATAGTGAATGAGTTTGGGCTACAAACCTGTAGAAACTGCTAAAATCATTCGAGTTGTATGGACGCAGCCCTAACTGGTTTTAGTTTAAGGGTAAAGGTCTGAGTAAAATAGACATAGAATAGACAAGAATGAAACAACCCATTTTCCCCACGATATGACCTATACCCCATTAATTAAGATTATGCTGGGGGATATGCATGTGTGTTTAGTCATTGTGGTTATTTCAGAGCAGCTGTGGGGGTCATGCAACACATCTGTTCGCCATAAACATATGCATGCAGTTGTTTATGCAGAGGGCAGGTTTTTACTGTAAATAAATTGTGCTAATTTTCCGGCAACTTTATCTGTTAGTTTATAAAGATGCCACACTAAAAGACAGAAGGGCAAAGGGGGGAGGAAGTCAGACTGAAGCAGCAGTCTCTCTGGAGATCATGTGCCGCATTAAAGGGTCACAAGGACAAACCGAAATCATGCTTTCTTAATAAAAAAAAGAAAAAAAACTGAATGAAAAGTCACGAGTCACTTGGAGTGATGTCGTTGTAGCCAAGTGTTATTAATGACGTGTTAGTTTTTCTTTATTCATTTCTAAAATATCATGCGAATATGTAAAGAACAGCTTGTCCGCTCTCTGTACCCACCATTATAAATGAACTGCGGTCTCTGAAGGCGTCCCGCTTTTCATCCACTTGATCAGCCTTCCCTCAAAGAGCGACTCCGGAGAGAAATTAATTCCATTACTTTGCCAAGACTGCTTCACTTGTATGACAGAAAACAATCGAATTCAAAAGGAGAGGCTGGCCTAGTTTCAGTGAGCAAAACTCGTAGATGAGATGAAATCATGTTTGAGGGGGCTGCAGGTCAGGCTGCTCGCTGATCTGAATGACAAATCTATCCAACAGTTGCGAGTCACTGAATCACACGGGAAACTTTGGTCCAAAGGAGCGGAGCTTCAGGGAGCACTGGCGCACTGCCACGGCCCCTCACGGACCATTTCTTTAAAGTAAAAAGCTGACTTTGCACACATAAACGACATGGTAAACAATATAGGTTAAATATAGCGGTGCTACCTAAATAATAGCCTATGTGTTCCTTTTGGGGGTCAGTTTTAGGTTTTACTTTTTAGTTTTTAAAGTCGTCGCAAAAAAAAGGGCGAGCACTCCACCTAGTGGAGAAACGTATAACATAGAGGTTACAGAGAGAACAAGGTGGTCTGCAAATAAACATGGTTTTCTTTTACATGATATGATATCATAATAGCGTCGTTAAAGATAGGCTGGGTCAATCTTACTTTACATTTTTACTTTAGTGTAACCTAAAGAGCAATTTTGTATGGCTTCTTTGCAGGATGATATTGTTTTTGCATACATGGATAACATAATAATTCAACATATGACCTTTTAAAAGTGGTTTGAGTACACAACAGTATGGAAGTGTCAATTTAATGTCAGTTTTATTTATATGACACATTTCATTACATTTAAACTTAACATGGTTAATATCAAGATAAAAAAAACTTAAAATGTACAGTAACATTAAAGTAAAAACAAAAAACCCCAGAGGAATATAAGTTTACAAAAAAATAAATGTAAACACGCACACACAGTTATGTGTATCATCCGCATTGGATATTTTATTCTTCTTTATTTATTATTCTTTATGATAGGGCCAAGAGAGAGCAGGAAGATTCGAGAGTAATGGACCAAGAACAGACATTTGAGGGACCACTGATTGAATTTTTAAATTTGTGCTGATCTCAAATTATTAATCGAAATGTAGAAACCTCTACCCTTTAGACATGATGACATATCTAAATCAACAAAATCATAAAGACTTTGAATTAAGAAGTCAAGAAGTCAGTGTCGATCATGAGTCTTCTAATTACTGGTGATCTTTAGGTCTTTAGGTTGTTGATGGGTTTAATTGGTGATGAAATCTGATTGGTACTCATCATAATGAGTTGTTAGGTATGCATTCAGTTGTTTATAAAGGTTTTTTAAAAAAATATTTTTCTGAGAAAAGATGATAAACAGTTTTTTGGTAGCAGTGTGATTAGAGCACATCAGAGATAAACACTGAAAATGCCACCCTCTAAAGAACTGTTGACAATAATTACTAAACAAAATGCATTGTTTTAATTAACTGTTCTTTGATCGGTTAAAAACAACATAACACATTTTTGCTATTACTCTCTCAGTAGTAAACTTTAAAAAACAATGATGTAATAATGCAAATTATATAACACTGTCATGCCATGGAGACTTAACCTCTGATAGGTTGTTGAATAAACTCTTGCAGCCGCAGGTTGTTTACGGGAAATTTTACATGTACTTTATTCGCATTAAGATCATTTTCTCTTTATCAGCCGAATGCTTTAAAAGGTATAACGTCTTTAACGCAATATTGAGGATCACTGCGTTAGAACTACAATTCCCATCAAATCTGTCGCTTAGTGATGACGCATAAGTAAAGAATTTTCAGGAAGGTTACAAAACCGTGGCGTCTTGTTTCTGGAAAGGTGATAGACGACATTTCTCTCGGTATGTAACATTTACTTTCTATTTAGTATTTTGAACGTTGTAATCATATAACAGATAAGACATATTTAGTCTGTAGTTAAATATGTGTTTGTTCAGCGGTCGTTAGGCTAAGGGTTAGGCTAAGGGTTAGTCGCATGATATTACGGCATTAGCTAGCTCAATTTTTGTGGCGTTTTTTAGTGCAAGAGCACATTTTACACTGTTTTTGTGACTCTTAGCTCAAAGTTCAGCTTTCTGTCACACGAATTCCTCTCAAAAAAATTCTTCTCCGTGTTTGTGTTTTAGAGTGACACGGGACAGTAATATATCGTGACAATGTTGGTGGCGAGGCTAACGTGCCTGAAGGCTCTCCCGCTTGCTGGGCTCCGACCACTGCTCACTCAGGGCTCCCCAGCCCTGCGGTCACCCATCCTGAAGACCTGTTCACCCTTGCTCAGGCCCCAGCAGGTACTGTAAACTTTGTCGCCAGGCTCTCTCTCTCTCACTCACTCTCTCACTCACTCACTCACTCACTCACACACACACACACACACACACACACACACAGCTTTTTTGGCATTTCTATGCTTTGTGGCATTTCTATGCTTCATTAGCCAGACTTTTCCCAAATATAGTGCCTCCTGGCAAGTATTTGGGCTTTCGTCTCAGCTATACACCAATTAATACATAGTGAAGTAAAATAAAGGAAAAATGTCAGTAGAAAATATACCATCACATTTGGGCCTAATCTTTGTTGTGTGGTCCAAATGTCATGAGTCAGGCTTTTTACACGGGTTATTACATGTGCTGGTTTTGACAGCTGTGATAAACTGTATGTTTAGGCACACCTGCCATCTGGACCACATATATGGCTGAGTTGTAGCAGTAATGCTGACACCTGAGTCAGTGCTTTTAATATCAATTGTGGGTTGCACTTGGGCCACATTTTCATTGTTTTGCATGTTATGGCTTCAGCTGCTTCACAGATGTCAGCGTTGTTTATTGGGAGGTGTTTACGATTGTTGCCAATCAAGCCAAAGAAAAACCTAGAAAGTAAACATATGTGCTTTAAGAAAATTGTGGCCTTCAAAATAGTATTGGAACCGAGTTTTATGGACTTCTACTGACTTTATGAAGCTGTCTGATAAGGTGGTAGAGGCAAGCTATAATCAAGTTGAGTGGACGGCAAAGCAACACGCAATCGGTTCAGATGGTCAATAATGCCTTTCTTAACCAATACAATAAAAAAAAAAAAATTTAGGATGCTTTTTTGTACAGGTCAATGCACGTATGGGCAAAACATGCCTAAAAACCATTGCTTTGTAAAGTACTAAAAATGCAGCTATGCTTAATTTTTCATCTTGGATAATATTGGTAGAACACCTTAGAAATTTTAGTCATAAGTTTGTAATGATCACAGGGGGTGCAACTTGCAGCTGGACTAGAAACAGTGCAAATGTCAGATTGCCACTGCTCTAATTTGTTATGTAAACATGGTATTTTTTTGAAACTGGGTATTTGCTGCTTCCCTACTTTTGATTGATGGTGGGTGTGAAACCCTAACTCATGTTCAACATTTGAAGAGTCATGTAAAGCTGCTGCTTCTTCTTTCAGGGTTATTCCTCAAAGGCCAGGTTTGGGTTTCGCCGTGCAAAGACAACCAGAGACCAGCTAAAGGAAGCAGCTTTTGAACCAGCCACTGATACAGCCATCAAAAGTAAATGCTTTGATACATACTTCATTTGGCACCGTTACATATTTTCTACTCGTATATAGCCTGAATTCTATGCTGTCTACTGACTTAAGGGTGACCTGTTAAGCGTTCACATATTTTTTGTTATTCATGTCTATGGATAGATAAGTAAAATTTTATTTGTATAGCACCTTTCAAGACAAAGATGACTTAATTTATTAATGTTTCTTAAGTAATAAAAGCAAGACTGAACCTGAGATTTGACATGAACATCCAAAGTGAGAGTGGAATCAAAAGTTAGCCCAAGGTTTCTGATAGATGATTTAACAAGTGTTGAAAGGGGACCAAGAGATTTCATTATCACATACTGTTTACACCATATGTCATACATTCAGGTGAGAAAAAAAACTGTCTTACCTGTGATTAATTGGCTGGGGGTGGGACTCAAAACCCAGTATTAGATAAATAACAAGTATTTTAAAATGTAAATCCTGCAATGCAACTTCATTTTTAGAAAAATGTGAGATTTCATGGTTTGAAATGGTTTTGTTATAGTAAATCTTTTTTCCTCTGAGGCAAAAATGTAAACTGTGTCTCAAATGATTTTTGTGTCGTGTCTGAAGTCGATAGCATGGGGAGAATGATACTGGCTGGAGGTGCAGCAGTTGGCCTTGGAGCTCTGTGCTATTATGGACTTGGCATGGCTAATGATATCGGTGCCATAGAGAAAGCAATGTGAGTAACAGATTTATTTTACCAACAGCACTTGAATTTTATTTTGAAATGCAGACCAGTAGAAAAGTGATGGTATCATACAAACTAAAGGCTTCTTTTCATCTTTGTACAGGATCTGGCCTCAGTATGTGAAGGACAGGATCCACTCTACCTACATGTACTTTGCAGGCAGTGTTGGGCTGACGGCTCTGTCAGCTGTAGCTGTGAGTAGGACCCCAGCTTTAATGGGTCTGATGATGAGAGGATCCTGGCTGGTAAGCTTTACAATACTTGCTTGCTTTTTTTGTTTTTTAATGGTCTTCACTCCACTGCACCATTATTATTTTAACCTTAGAATTACATATTACAGAGCTTGTTTAGTCAAATACCAATTTTTAAACCGTAGTTTATCTGATGTGCTTGAATTTTTCCGTTGAACTTATTAATATGATGATTTGTTTGTTCCCACCTAGGCAATTGGAGCAACTTTTGCTGCTGTGATTGGTGCGGGCATGCTGGTCAGGTCAATTTCATATGAGCACAGCCCAGTGCCAAAACATCTTGCTTGGATGCTCCACGCAGGTTTGTGTTTTTAAATATCTTTTAAGAAATTTCTCAGCCCTGTTGTCTCTGGTATGTAGTTGCCTTGGGTGAACACTAGAAGGCAGGCTTAGAACAGGTTAGAGGAAAAAGCTGCTTCAACGATACACTAGTTGATGGCACTAATATTATTTGTTTTTTAAAAGAAATCGTTTTGTTTTGTTTTTAACTGGTTTTTTTTTTTTTTTCAATAATTGATAAGGTGTGATGGGTGCTGTGATTGCCCCCCTCACTCTCCTGGGAGGGCCTCTGATGGTGAGGGCTGCCTGGTACACCGCGGGCATCGTGGGAGGTCTGTCTACTGTTGCAATGTGTGCCCCAAGTGAGAAGTTCCTCAATATGGGAGGGCCATTGGC